ATCTAAAGCACTACTAAAAGCAACTCTTACACAGGAATACTGCAAAATCAATTAGTTGAATTCATGCCAAAGTGCATGAAAAGTGTAATTTTAGCTAAAAGATAGCCAACGAAATATGGAATGTTATATTACTTTCGTGTCTTTATTAAATATAAACTGTTAACAAATACTTCTAAGGTATCCAAATATTTGTATGAGTTCATTTTCCGAACATTTTGATTCAGAACGTTTGGAATAAATTATTATTATTATTATTATTATTTATTATTATTTTATTTTATTATTATTATTATTATTATTTATTAGAAACGGACACTTTGAATAACGTTTTTTAAAACAAGCCATTTTAAAAGAGTTGGGATAAATAGTATACATGAAACGTGAAAAAAAATGTAAACTTTTTCGGTAATATTTAGCACCTCGTATTTGTAAATAAAACTGGAATGCATACTATGTGTCTGAAAAGAGCCATTGTATAAGAAAATTTCAGAAGGTTTCTTTAACTAATTTATTTTAGTTCCGTTAACTCCTTTATTTAGAAATTTGTATGATTGATTCATCTCAGTTTCTCTAATTCATTCATTTATAAATACCTCTTCTGAATTAAGATTTAATTAAATTTACTGATAGTTTAAAATTAGTCACTTACGGTGATAGAAATCCTTTAAAATATTACGCTTCTTTAAGACGTTTACGGATAATTAGTTGTTTATTAGCGAGAATAAAACGATTTTAATAACTAAATATCTTATTATTTTCTTAAATTTTCCGTAGATTAAAGAACTTAAAGCAAATGTCTTGATTTTATTAATAGAAAACAGTGCGACAATGACTATTCCCAATTCTGAGAGCGATTCTACGCACAGAGATAAAAACTTCAGCAGATGGCGCTTCGGGATAGAACTCTTCTGAACTTCCCCATCAAATGGTACACAGAATGCAAAGGAGAAGTCGTTTGATTCAGCAGCTGATGCGTCTCTCAGCCTCTCCCATAGCTAATAAATAGCTCATAGCTAATTCTTGGCAAACATGAGCTATAAAAGAGATCTTTAAAAAGAAATCTGCATGATAGAATGAGTAGTTTATAACAGAACGATTGAGCCTTCTTCTGTCTATATTAGTATGAAAGGCAGATAATAAATAAAGATTTAAGAAAAAAAAAAAAAAAACTCTTATTCAACAGGCTGAAGTCAAACAAGCTTTAACTGCATTTTTCTGGTTTCATTTACATTACTTACATTCATTCATTTAACTTACCTTTCTCTGGTTTCATTCTCATTATACAGCATTTCGTAAACATGTTTTCATGGACGAAAGGCCTGAAAATGCTTTAGATTAAAAAGAGCCTCTCTCCCAAATGAATATGCAACTCAGTATCGGCAGTAGTATCGCTACATTTAGCCTGATGAATTAACTGGAGATATAACCAATTAATCATCGTGAAAAAATGATAATTTGAATAAAGATTTGCGTTTTTGTAATCTCCCTATTTTTGTCCAACGTATTACTCTATGTTCTTTGCACTTTTTAAACATTTTCAATAAAATGCTATTATTTTCAATAAGCGAATTTCGTTTCATAGCAAAAACAAGGATTGTTGCCATTTATTTCACTTACGCGAAATATTTGTGCTATTCGCTGAAAAACAATGTAACGCTACGTCTAAATAATCAAACCTTTAAAAAAAATAAATAAGCCTTCATGAGTAGTCAATTTATAATGAAATAAAATACAGCAAGCTTTTCCTACCCTTTTATTATTGCTATGTTGAACAGCTAGTTTTCAATGGATAATTTTATGATCTGCTTGAAATACGGATTCTTAAATAGTAAGCGTAACTATTTAGTTCAAAAGTCTTTCAGATGTTTGACTAGAATCTGAAAATAGTGATCATGCTGCAGTTTTTTTTTAAACTTTTTAAAAATGTAACATTTTATTTATTCATTTATTTATCTTGCTATTATTTTTTACTGATATACGTATATTTGTATATCAGTAAAATTACTACATATATTAGTATATTAGTCAATATTGTAATTTGAACTTTTCAAATCGCATCCTTATTAAAAGAAGAAAACAATGTAACGCTACGTCTAAATTAACGTCTAACGTCAATGTAATGCTACGTCTACGTCTTTGCAGGGGACGGAACATAACGAAAAAAGTGAATAAACAATAAAGTTAGATCATGACTGGTTACTCGGCCAAAAAATAAAGCAAATTTCATGAAGGAATACCGAAACTTTTCGACTTGAATAACTCGATTAGTAAAATTCGTAAGAAATATCGAACTACTCACCTCCGCAGCACAGTACGGGTATTTGAAAATGTTTGAGCAAGGTTCAGACATTGTTTAATTAATTTAGAGTATGATTACCAACTTTTTGATTGAAAAAAATTTTATAAAATGATGCAACATGAATCAAAGTCCTAATTAAAACGCTACAAAATACCTTAAAGCGTAACTGAAATATTTTTTAAGATATTGAGCCTTTAAATAAAAGTTTAAACAAAAAGGAGACAAAAACGCCCTTCGACAAGGGCTTGAAAAAGGAGATACTCTTGAGCATCTCGTTTGATTCCGAAGAAATTTTATACGTATATCCTTCGCCAGGAGCAAAGGATACTACATTACAAATCGAACATGCAGTTGCTCGATAGCATATGGAAAACACGAACTGAAGAAGTAATCAAAGCAAATCTCTCACAAGGGCAATTGGAGAGTGATTTATGATTATAAGAGTTCATATGAGATGTTAGTATATTTCGAAGCTTGATTTATGTTGAATTCAAGCTGATAAAACGACAGTATAATAGGGCTGAGGGGGGGAATGCTTGATCCAGTCGATATACTTCTGGCACATAGGTCGGACCCCCCCCCTCCCAGATGCAGTACAATGACTTTGGTAGTGTCTACAAAACAAGTCCAATGGAGAGTCTTTACTAAAGACTTTCCATTGGGTATTGGATGCCACAATCTACCAACGCATTCTCACTGAACTACCAATAGAACAAGAAAACATCATGGCTTTCAGAAACACGGCGAGACATGATCACATCATTTTTCTGCATTCGGGTCATATGATTCCAGGAAGTCATTCCATTGCTTACCACTAACTAACGAGCATCGCCAATGCAATGGTATTTGACTCATTAATGTGAGATGATGTCTACATAACTGCATGGTCTTCAGCGAAGTCTTTATAGTCCACCTTGAATACTAGTGATTAGCGGGACACGTCTGCAGATGAATTACAACCGCATGAAACCTGATTTTATCAACGAAGCCATCTTCTCTGATCTACTGGGATTTGCATCAGATATCCGATTATCGATGCTATATTAAACCTAAAGAAGTCATTTCATGCGACACCTTTTGTCGGTAGTCCTCTTTATTACCTTCGCCACGTAGAGAACTCTGCGTAGCTACTGGTTAGAATCTGTACTTAGGCGGTCTCGGCCACGGGGAGTATAAAACTTCTGAACCTAGTAGTTCTGGAGGCTCCAGAAAGGTCACTTATTGGCCGGCCTGGTGTCTGGCAAGTCCTAGAGCAGATGGCTCAAGTAACCTGGGGTGGCGTCTCGAGGACGCTGAGTAATGTCCCTCTGCGACGGGCAGTCCGAGCGTCTGGCAGGAAGCAAATTATAGTCAACGATCGGTGTCGCAAAAGTGATGCGCTCTTCTCTCCAATGTGCGAGGACAGGGGTTGAACCCCTCTGTCTGATTCCATGGAGGTAGGCACTCTTAGTGTCATTAAGTTGGCGGAAAGAGGAAAGCCCAAATTTATCTTTATTACCTTTGTCAATGGCGTTCTAAAACTAATTTTATTACAAATTTTATATGTTACCTAGAGTCGTCTGTCAATGGTACATAGCACAGTTTTTTCAGCGCCTATATTTGTAATGTGGTAACTGCTACAGCTCGATCTCCTGACTGGATACTATTGGCACATTACGGAAAGCACACATGTATGTACTAAAAATACAGACCGATGGTAAGCCATTTAGTTCATTATTCAGACATTATGCATTATGATTTTAATCAGTGAGAGGTATAATTACGCTATTACGAGCTTCCTCAACTTTTGTACTTCCTCTATCCTCCGAATTCACGATTAATACACTCTGCGATTTTTTTTTCTTGAGTTATGTAAATTGCTCATACCAGTTTTCCTCAAGCTTATACTATTTTTCGCCAAAGGCTGTCAAACGGTCCATTTGTGACAATTTTCTGACAGTTAAGTTTGACATATTTCTAATCGTACTTCCTTCATAATAATTCGTATAATTCAGAAGTTTTATATAAATTCTAGTTACACAACAGTGTATATTTAAATACTGCGGTTTTTTAACTTCAGCTTATCATTAGGCATAGTAATTAGTTAAAGCTGCAGCAATTTCAGACAAGATGTCATATTTATTTGCAAGATAACGTATCTTGAGTATTGACCATTGTTTTAAGTTTTACGATAACCTGTGATTCAAATAAGCGTTTAGTTACTGTTTATTCATATGTTTATAAAACCCTATTCTTGGGCCAACAATACATCACTTTAATAAAGTTTGAGCTAAGTGGTTAGATAAAAGAACTTGACAAGTAGACAGTTCAGTTTAGAACCACATATTTAAGTCACTAATATCGAAACTAAGCTTTAGAGTTTTAAATTCTTTTTAACATGCTTTGCTCCGTCATACCGATAACTCTTTATTATGTCCTACCTATATGAATGTTGCAGAATCTTCTAAAATTAATGTATTCAAATACCGCTTAGTCTCTGTGTCGATGAACGAAGTCAATAACGTTGCTGTAAGCATAGTTTCGTATCACGACTAAACAGTAGTTCGTGTATCTGTAGCTTCTTGCGGTTACGATACGTTACACTCTTGATAACGGTGTTCTTAGGGCTGAAATGACGAATTACTTGAGAGATTCGGCCATTCCTTCTAGATTTTATAAACTCAAATAAACATATAAGGTATTTCTCCCGCCTTCTTCGCATGCCTTCGTAGTGTAGTGGTAAGCACACTGGACGCATATTCCAGAAGTCTGTGGTTCGATTCCTGGCGAGGGCATTGCTCATTTTTCATCTCTCCTGCTTACATCATACCGCGCATTTTTAGTGCGTAATTCGCAAAGTATACCAGTAACAGAGGCTGAAAATTTATCTTTCTTTTTGTTGCTGCCATTGTAATTCCGTAAAGAAGCAACTAAAGGTGCCATTACAACGATATCGAAAACGTTACAGACAACTAACCAACTTCGAACGTGATCGCATTCTAGGGTTGCGTGAAGCTGGGTGGTCATACCAAGCAATAGGCCGTCAACTGCAGCGTACTAACGCTGCCGTGCAAAGATGTTGGCAGCAATGTTTTTTACAAGGAAATTGCCGACGAAATGAAGGCTCTGGAAGGCCAAGGAGCAAAAATGTGGGGCAAGACACGATGATTGTTCGCCAGGCCCGAACCGCTCCAACGACTATTCAACGCACTACAGCCACGTCTATATCGCCCGTGGTACCGTCCAGCATCTGACGGCGCTTGTATCTGAGGCGGAGTTACCCTCACAGAGGCCTTTAAGACGTTTGTCTTTGACCCCACAACATCGGCGGAGACGTCTGGAGGGGTGTCGCAGCCAATCATCATCGCTGCCATCAGACTAGCATCGTATAGTGTTCAGCGAAGAATTCCGCGTCACTCTTGAAGCAGATGACCACCGTGTTCGTGTCAGGAGAGGACGACGGCAGCAGTCCAATCAGCCTTTGTTTTACAAAAGCATACGGCCATAACCCCTGATGTGATGTTGTGGCGCGGTATTTCTTATGACAGCAGGTAATCTTTAGTCATCCTCCGTACATCTTTAACAGCTCAACGATATCTTAATACCATCCTGCGGCTGGTTACATTATTCTTCATGGCACGTCATCCTGGGGCCATTTTCCAACAAGATAATGCCAGGCCACATACTTCTTGCATATCTCTGGACTGTCTCCGTGCGGTTGATACTCTTCCTTGGCCAGCAAGGCCACCAGACCTTTCACCAATCGAGCATGTCTGGGGCGTAGTAGGCCACCAGATTCGGGCACCGCAAAATATCGCAGATCTGGAGCGACATCTGATGAATGTCTGGCAGAATGTGCTCGCAAGATGACATTAGGAACCTCTACTACTCCTTGCCTTGATGAATTCAAGCATTCATTTCCACCAGGGGCGGTTCAACCAACTACTGATTTGAACACTCAGTGGGTGATTGCGAGCCTTGAACAGGTACCTTGATTTTTAATCATTTTATTATCTGTGTATGACCTATACACATATTCACTTTCATCAAAAATAACCACTTCCTTCATGGTGCTTCGATTTTTTTTGCAAAAGAGTGTATTTAAAGAAATTAAATAATGAAGAATTTGCATGAATGTATGTATGCTTCTTGCATTGTGAAAAAACGATGATACCTAGAGCCATTAAATTTTGAAAAGTGTAGCCATCCACCCGAACATGAGCACCTGAAATCCCGAATCTTGAATTTCGAATTTGTTTTATTAGTTATTTCATATTTTTTAAACTTTAACGAATTTCATTTTAAGAAACTCAACGATTTCAAAGCGAGCAGTGGCAATACGCTGTACGGAATAAAATATTTTTCTATCCAACGCGTGAGACTGCCTGTCGGAAATTCTAAAGGTACACTGTTCTTAAATATTTTTAGTCCAAAACGGAGTTAGCCCAAGTGCTCTGGAAACGTGTATATATGTGTAAATGAAAAAACGCCCCTTCGGGTGTAAAATAAAATCTGAAAGCTTTCATATTTTAATTTTTTTTTAATTTAACGTTTTAATGATATTTAGATCATATCTTCGTTTAACGAAAGAAATAAGCATATCAGAATTTTACTGTTTGAACCATCGAATAACAGCGGAAAAATAAGTTTTCAATGAAACTTGTGTGAAAACTGTAACTTAATTTCTGCATTTTTGGCGAATATTTTAAAATAGTTTGATATGGATTTTAAATTGGAACATACTGGATTTCAAAATTTCAACATCTAAATATGCAACGCATATAAAGTTTTGAAATGTTTGCTGATTATAAAACAAACCTTCCACCCTTTTGAAATGATAAAAATGCAAAAATGATAAAAAAATATTAATTGAGCAATTTTTGGATTTTTTTTTTTTTTTTTTTTTTTTTTTAATGTGTTGCAGTTTGAAATAAACGGGGAGAGAAAAGCGCTTTAAGTTTGCCATCTTGGCGCACTAAATGAGAAATTGGCAATATTCGGTTTCCATTCCAGCTGCAAGTAAAATGGTTGTTAAGTAACATTGTTGTTACATCCGATTTCCGAAACTGTATATTGAAAGCGATTTCTTCATTCTTTGAATGACATTCAGTCATTTTTCTTTATTTCATAATTTTTTTACAATTATTATGTTAAATTATAAAAAATTCATCCTTGATAACGTATATTTGAGACCAAAAAACATAAAATACAATTAAAAAAGTTTTTATACAATAATAATTTTATTTAAAATGGGTATGATAATTAGTGTACTAAAAGGAGAAAAATAACTTATATAGTTTAAGGAGAATAATACATTAAATAATGCTCTTTACGTAATTCATCTACACTTTTATATCACGAATAATAAAAGCTTGGAGCACCTAGATAACGAAACCTATTAATTTAATTGCAATGTCAAATGAAATCTTTTAAAATTTTATATTAATTTAATTTCATTGCTAAATTTATAAGCCATTATCTTTTTTAATTTATCATGTTCGTCTTATGCTTTTATCATTCGTGCTATAAAACTGTAGATGAATTCTATATATAGAATTATTTACTAATTATTCCCATTAAACTATATGACCAATTATTATTTTTTTTCCTTTCAGTGCATTAACTATAATATTCATTTTAAATAAAAGCTTACTGTATAAAAATCTTTTTCAACTATATTTTATTTCGTGCAAAAATTATCCATAAATTTACAATTATAAAACATTATACAAATTAAAAATTTATGAATAAAAATGCATAGATTGAAATTAATTTTGATTGAAACGTAAATTAATTATTGAAAGATTCAGCTTATTTTAGGCTAATTCGGGGGAATGCTTGCTTCAATAGAGATTTAACATTAAACAATAAAACAGATGATTTTAAATTATTGAATGCTTTAAAGAATATGTTTTGTGAAAACACAAAGGAAAACTTCAGCTATTTACTCTGCTACTCATTAAAATTGTTACACTAGAAAGGAAAACAAATAGCAGATTCTTATTCGTATAGTGTTACGAAATGTACAGGCGCGGTAAGATAGCTTCCTCTCAAAGCATGGTTGCCACACTTGGCGAGAAATCGGCCATTTGGCGTAGAAATTGGCGATATGCCGTGGACGGATGGAGAACCTTCTGGAACGAATTCTTACCGGTTTAGCCCAGAATGTTCTCGAACACCAGCTAAAAGCTATATAAACCCTGCTGGTCCGCAGTTAGGTAGTATTGAGAGTGTGTCTCGTCTAGCGAGTCAGTCCGTGCGGAGTCGATCGAGTTGACAGTGGGGCAGCGAGTGCCGAGTGGGTCGTCGAGTGCACCGAAGGAGTCTGTTAGAGTATCGCGGTTAGTGCATCTTCGAGAGAGCGTGTTGAGCTCCGGGAACGACTGAACCGAAGAGTCGGGAGCTGTGCTCGTGGATCGTCGAGTGCATCGCGAGTTGTAGCGTGGAGAGTCTCCAGAGTACGTGGAGTTCCAAGAACGACCAAGCAGAGTCGGGAGCTGTACTCTGGTGCTTTGCAGGACACCGTTGTTGCCTGACAGAGTGAAGGCTGTGTCGCTGATTGTTCCAGTGTGTTTATAGTAGATCTTCGACAACTGTAAAAAGTGTTATTGGAGCTGTCCTGATTAATACCGGCCAATAAAGTGTGTTTCGATACTTCATTAAGTAGTATTGTCATTATTCACTCCAAATCCTCACCAACCCCGTACGAACGTGATGGAAGAAAATAACGTAACAATATTTTACATAGATAGTGTAATGGGAGGAAGACATGATTAAGTTTGCAGAGGGTTTGTCTTACAAAAGCGTGCAGAATTCAGTACACAAGCCTGCCCCCCTTACAGCAACAAGACTATAATCCGGATCGGCATCGAGTAGAACTGATCTTGGAACTGAGAGACGGGCATTGCGTTCCATGCGATTTCAGCTCTGTGCCATAGTTCATTAGTCGTAGTGGCGGGCTAGACACTCGGCAACCCATAACCAGATGTCCTCAGTGGGTTAGGAATACGGAGAACGTGCTTGTTAGCGCAACAGTCTAACCCCCTGTGTCATAATGAAGGTCAGGCTAGAACGAGCAACATGCTGTAAAGCATTACCTTGTCGAAAGATGGTGTGACTCAGGCCTCGAAGACAGGGCAAAACCATGGGCCATAACACGCCAAAAATGTAAAGACTATTATCCACAATACCGGCTGTGCGGACAAGAGGTGACTAGGATGCGTACACAGTGGCACCTCATAACATTATCCCAGGTGAGTTGCCCGTATGACAATGACGAATGTAACCTCGCACGGTTTGTTCTTCTCAGTGCCCGCCCCCATACGGATATAATTATGATAGATTTACTTGTTCCACATCTCATTTAAGGATGCTCTACAAGGCTTGCCCAAATGAATCACTCCATATCCGGCAGTAGTCGTAGCAGAGCTAAACGCGCCACGCAGGACGTGGAGCAAATAGTCGAAGAAGGATTAGTCGTCGCACCCCGAATCAAGAGGCCGAAGCCACCAGCCTTCCACGATAGCATACGCAGCCCCTTCAGATACCAGAACCCCGGTCTATGTTTCTTGTACCCCTAGAGCCAATATGATCAGAGCATCAGAGTACAGATCTCAGCCAATAGAATAAACTACCCTAAGATGGGGGTACACACAGATATGTCGATCATGACGCTATACACAGAACCGATATTCGTCGGTAAAGGCTATGTGGGGTCTCGTCACACAACTGTAGACGCCTGTCTCTGCTGCCGTCAAGGAAAGCCGCAAGATTGGTTATCGTGCAGGCAAGCCGT